TTGCCAAGGACGAAACAAATGAGAAAAAAGGAGATATCGACACTTTAGTCAGAGCTATCGCTGGAGTCTCAGTTACTGCTCAGCAAGAGCACTCAAAGCCAAGTAAGAGCGTGAAAAGACGGGAGAAACGAGCTAAGGAAGAAGCAGATAGAGAGCAGAGAATCAAAGAGGAGCAAAGCAATGTGACAAGTGATCGCATGGTTGAGAACGAAAAGCTCGAGAAGAAGCTTAAGCCGTTGGGATTAACGATCAGCGAGATCAAACCAGACGGGCATTGCCTTTACCGAGCTGTTGAGAACCAGCTGGCCAATTGCTCAGGCGGTGCATCTCCTTACACATACCAGAAGCTAAGAGAAATGGCTGCTTCATATATGAGAGAGCACAAAATCGATTTTCTCCCATTTTTCTTGTCAGAGACTGACTCTGAGGGTGACGCCAGCGGATCTGCGGAAGAGCGGTTTGAGAAATACTGCAGAGATGTCGAGTCAACAGCGGCTTGGGGCAGTCAGTTGGAGCTAGGAGCGTTAACACATTGCTTGAGGAAACACGTAAGGGTGTTTTCAGGATCGTTTCCGGATGTTGAAATGGGCAAAGAGTACAAAGCCGGTAATGACTCAAGCATCATGTTATCGTATCACCGACATGCCTTTGGGCTTGGCGAGCATTATAACTCCGTCGTGGTCGTCAACAACGTCACCGGTTGATGAACTTCCCCCTTGAGCTTTTAAAAGAAACTACTTTTGTATCAAAAGTTTCAAGGTTTACTGAAATTCTTTTGTCTTTGTTGTTTCTTGAATCTTAAAGAACCAGTATGTAACTTCAAATTTTCGTTGGTACAATGCGAAGGAAGCATAATCTTATTCTACAGTTTCTCGTTTTCATTACAGAACACAAATGTATCAATTCGTACGGAGAAAATGACCCAAAGACACATTTATGACCTTTGGACAATTTTACGAGCCAAATTTGACAGACAGTTCTAGAGATCTGCAAGAGAATATATCGTACAGAAGTTGTTCCTTCCGAATCTATGGTTATCACCCATAGATTGCAAATTCAATCATGGTGAAAAAAAAAGGACACATGGCCTTATCACGAACATGTCAAAGATTCCTCATCACTGTAGATTTCCAAATCTGGTGTGTCAGAATTATGCTTTTCCTGTTAATTTTTTTTGTATTTTCGGAAAGTTAAAAAGAAAAACACAATGAACATGGATTCTTATCTTTCATTTGTCAATGCAACAACAAAGAAGACTAACTCTTACATTTAGATAAATCAAAAGTTGTGATACAAACTTGAAAAATGACGAAAGCATTGATCACTTACTTGCTCTGTAGACTCCAGGTCACACAAGCAGAAAAGTAACTCAAAGAGAGATCTTTTTTTCTTGCTTTACATTTCTTTTGAGCATGGAACTTGTGGGGAATCTATTGTGGCTTGAAAAGATAGGCATCTAAATGGATAAACCATAATCCAATCTTTACCTCAGTGGATTCACCAAAAGCAAAAGATATTGCAAAACAAAAAAAAAAAGCAACATAGAGTTGCATACCTCCTTGGATCCGTGGATCACTACTAAACCATATGGAAAGGATATTTCCGTATATGGAAAAAAGGAATCCTCATGAACTGTATATGCAACTTGGTTCTAATATTTGAAAACAAAAGAATCTAAGTTTATGCAGTTTTTAGAGAACGCCAAGGGGCACAATCACTAAGGAGGGAAGTAAAGTAGTGACAAAGATTTGATTTTACGCAATCTTACTTTGTATACCAAACTCTATAAATAGGCTTTACTTTGTATCTCATCAGACCAAAACAAACACACAAATAGATCCTTAAATTCCATCAACACACTAAGTGCTACATTTTATATACACCAATGGAAACCATAAGAAGTTTAGTTGAAGACAAACCAGTAGTGATTTTCAGCAAAAGCTCTTGCTGCATGAGCCACTCAATTCAAACACTGATCTCAGGATTCGGTGCGAAGATGACAGTCTACGAGCTAGATCAATTCTCTAACGGTCAGGAGATCGAGAAGGCATTGGTGCAGATGGGGTGCAAGCCCAGTGTACCAGCAGTATTCATAGGGCAACAGTTAATCGGCGGTGCTAACCAGATAATGACTCTCCAAGTCAAGAACCAACTAGCCGCATTGCTAAGAAGAGCCGGAGCCATATGGGTTTAAGAAGAAACATGAAAGTCTAAAATGCAACTAGAGTAGAATAAAATGAGAAGAATATATAGTTGTTTTGCCATTTTTCGGTTTTCGGGTTTCTACGATGCACGGTTATGTTTTCAACCAGTGCAAGTCTATAGTGACACAACAGTGGTGCTAAGATCAAGAACTTGTATTCACAGTAATATAAATTAATGTAAGTTATCAGCAATGCTTCTACACAATAAAAAAGAAACATTTGCTTTTACCATTAAGCTCTTAAGGATTTGTTCAACAAAATGAAAGGTTCTTTCTTTATTCATCAGCCATCAAAACAAAGAAAAAAGTACAGATTTTACTCACTTCTTCACTTATAGATGTAATCTTTCAAAACTCCATTTCCATGCTCTAGCTGAGACTGTCTTCGCCAATTCTCTACTGCTCTACACACTGTAGCTTTTGCTTCCCTAATCTCTTGAGCCGTGAACTTGTGTTCAATGATTCCCAATGGTCCAGGTTGCAGAACATTGATCACTGTTTCTGCTTCTTGCTCAAGCTGCCTGTAAAAATGAAATCTTTAGTACTTCAACAATAAACCCACAAAATGAAATCATGCCTCATGTCAAAGGGAGAAATGCAAACATTACCCAGACTTCAAGTACTAATCGAACTGGAAAAAAAACCTAGATTTGATAGAGACTGAATACACATATCTTCATTGAGACAGAAATTCAACAGTATAGGAATCGAGAACGAAGAAAAGAGAGAACAATCGACGAAACCTGAAGAACCCTGAGAAGGGTAAAGCTCGAGCGATCCTGTAAATAGACATCGTCGCCGGGAAGGAGATGAAGAAATCAAAGACCTGAGAATTTCTTTTAATCAAAAACAAAAAAATGTATCAATAAGGGATAACCTTCCACTCGACTTAGAAGGTTTGACTTTTGACCAGAGATATATGGGCCCGTAATAATATTTACGGCCCAAATAAAAGTCAATAAATTGAAGACGAGGATAAGCTTGTTCTCATAGCCAAACACGTTTCCATCACCATACAGTACAAACTACAAAGGCTTCTTCTTCCTTATCCGACAAACTCACGCGCCACTCTTCTTCCACCTCTCTAAGCAATGAATAGCTCGATGACGATGACGATGACGAGTCCAATGGCTCGAGCCTTCGTGAATCTTCACTCTTTACCGTTACCTTTACGTTCGAGGAAGTCACCGTCCGGAGTCTCGTGTCCGCCTTCGCCGAGACGCAGGATTCCACGACTCGTGTGTATGGCAGTAAGTGAATTTTCGATTAACTTCCAAAATTTGTGTCTTTTGGGTTCGTAGTTATGTTGGGTACTGATTTTATTGTTTGAAATTTTAGGAACCTTACCTGGTTGCGAAAATGGAGTCTGTTGAGAAGACATGGAAGGAGTTATCGGTATGTTCTTTTTACATTGTCTTGCATTAATGTCTCAGTGGAAAAATTTCTTGCATTAATGAGTTTTGGAATTGTTTGTAGGTAAAACTAGCTGATCCAGATGTAGTTTCAAATCCTTCTGAATACCAAAAACTGGCACAGTCAGTGTCGGAGCTTGACGAGGTAGTACAATTTTTTAGAGGGTGAAAAGTTTGAAGCTCTAGCTATGGTTTCTTAGAATTGAATTCAGTTTTGGATTATCCTAGGTTGTATCAGTTTTCCAGAGATTCAAGGAATGTGAGAAGCAGTTACTAGAAACCAAAGGTCACTTCAAGTCTCCTCC